TAATGTTTCATTACAAATGAATGTTTCTGAAAAGACTTGTCTCGATGATCGATTATCAAAGGTGATTCTATCAAAGATGATATCCAAAATATTTTAACTTATTCTACCTCTGCCCTATATTTACTGCTAATACGAATGGAATGATTTTTAACCGAAATGCACGGTGTCCGGGAGTAATCACTCAATATCACGGAGACTAATGGATTTTTGTCCGTTTTTCCTACCGCTGTACTGGAACTTATTTTTTATGAAATTGTGCTATCTGTTACGAATTTGTTTTGATGAAATTTGATTTTATAGATTATTATAATTCAGTAGCAGTATTGCATTTGTTGTTAAGGTAGTGCAAAAGCATGTTAAAGCATTAGACATTATTTAGATTGATCACATGCAAAGTTAAAAGTATGGGAAATAGAATGTCGCTATAAATAACGTTAACAGAGTAGAATTATCTTTACAATTAGAGTACTGTGGTCTTTACAATTGCACATTCTCTGAATCACAGGATTTTCCCTAGAAAGAACATACAACATGTGTCTTTAATTTCAGCGACATTAAGCTCTTTCGAGAAAACGAGAAATGATTAAAATATCCTTAAAAAACAAACGCGCTCTTACAATAACAATAAATAAAAAACAATAAACTTTAGAAAGACACGGAAAAGGAACTTTTTTACCAACGACTTCTGCACACCTTAAAACGGCAGTAAGCAAGCCTTTTTGTTGTACCTGACAAAATCTGTTTAATCGGATGATTTGTATTGCTGACAAAAATCTTACTTTCTGCATGATATTGTCCATTAAAATCTCATATTTTCTTGATCGTGACGGCTAAAAATAATTGCGTACAAAAGACGTTACATTCATGCAGAATGCAAGATGAATGTATTTTCGCCATTAACATTAATGCCGTGTGACATCAGTTTCCACAGAAAATTTTTGTTTCTTTGTGTTCTTAGAATTACAGTCTTACTAAGAATATTTTCTTTTGGCTTACAGGAGTTCGTTACTTTAAGCTCGATCGATGAGCAATAACGTATCGAATTTCAGTGTTAGAACATCCTGGTAAACTTCCTCAAAAATGTGCTACTCCGTTTCGCAAAACCTAGCAGAGTCTTACATACGCTTTGAACACTTTACATTGTATTGTAAGTGAAAAATTGAACTTCCATCGGAACACTCGGAGCGTACGATTTCAGTTCTTCGATTTTCTGATTACAAACGCAAACGGATTTCAGTGTATTTCGCGATGATAGTATAAGTTTCATCGCTTACCTGACTCTAAGTGCTGCCATCGTTTCACGGTATTCGAGGCCTTCATTTTTGTAATCTCATATTACTTACGTTATAAGGTGACACATAAACTGTGCTCAAGCCACTTGTTAATAAAAAAAGCCACAAAAACCTAAGTATTTAGTTACTAAAGTCGCCTAGGTTGCACAACGCTGTTATTGTTCAGACGCGTAGTTGTTTGGTTGTTGAAATTTTCGTCTTGAGGAATGTGTTCTGTTCTTTCATCGAAAAATCCTGGATTCAGAATGATGTTGGGAACCAGCTCAATCACTTCCTGCTCCTCCAGCTGCGCTGCAATTCGGGAACGGAGATTAATTTTCATTGGTCTAGGCCACGAGTTATATTAGCTTCTACCCTCTCCCTTTACCAATATTTTGCTGGGCTACATATATATTTTTTACAGATACAAACGTTTCAAAGTAACTACATTAATAAACGAATCTTTGAAGTTAATTACTTGAAATTAATATTTGCTTACCCAGCAAATGTATGTGCTACCTCTGACCTATATATTTTGTACAGTCAAAGGTTCACTAATAGCACATAGTGTTATCTAGGCCATAATGCTCTATCACTATTACAATACTCTCTATTCATTGCACTAATCATTCTGCATACCAAATTTTATACAAACCACCAAAGCTTATAATCAGACACATAAAGTATCTTACAAAAATTAGTAACAAGTAGGATAATGAAGTTTTTTTTTCAGTAAATAAATAGACAGTAAGTTTGGTGGCTAATGAAGTCTATTTATAAAATTCAGGTTTCATTCCTATGAGGAGTGTGAAAGGTGCTACTGTCAGGCAAACTGTATAGAAAAAGGTAAACATATGTTATAGATTAATTTAGTGCGTTATGTTGTAAAGTGTACAGTGCAGAAGTTAAGAAAGTGTTATTGTTAAACTGGTATGGTATGAAGATTTATTAAGATGCTAATATATTTTTGAAAGTTAAATACTAGAAAATTCGTTAAATGCTAATAAAATTTGCAGAGCGCTTGCAGTAGGGAAATATTAGTGGAAGATAATTGGTACTGTATTAGAATAGCACTAAATTGATTGAAAGGAGAATGGCTGATGTAAAGAAAGCTAGAGATCAGGGCCATAGATAAGTCGAGTGGTTAGTGATGCTATCGTTTCTGCTGCAGATATTCTCCTCTAGATAAAATACGTTACATGTTCATATTCATCCTTAAAATTAAATGATGTAGCATTATTCTACTAAGTTGATTTACTTGCATGGAAAAAAGTGAGTTTCCTCAGCAGAAATAAATAGCATGAAAGAGAAAGAGTAGAAGCAAAAGCTTTTAGATAAAGTTACCAGGAAATGCTTACAGGGTACTTTGCACTCACGATAGAGGAGGTAACAAGTACCTATACCAAGAATCATAAGTGTACCCATAACTATGCCTACCGCTGCCACCCAGACACGAGTGTCAAAATTTTCTACACCTGATAAGAGATGTCTTGCAAGTTCTGAAATAATTGTCAATCATGAATAATAATACGTTCTGTACATGCGGAGTCCGTATTCTGTAAAATCACCGGGTTCGAATTATGTACCTAATTCTTCGATACTGTGATGCGTATGACCTTCGACCTCAACAATTTCCCCTCTTCCTAGCTGATTTGTTGCCCACACTCGGAAAGAATACGTTGTGTTTGGCACCAAGTGATAAACATCAATTTGCCTCTATAAAATCGTTAACTTTAGTCAAGTTTATTGATAACACAAAAGTAATATATTTTTTCGGAAATAGAGTAAAAATTACAGAATTTGGTGGAATGTGCGTTGGAACAATAGGCTTCCAGTCTTCTGGTTCTTCACCCACATTCGGTTTAAGACGATATTCGGCAGTGAAATCTATGATAGGATAACCACCTGTGCCAGCTACTTCCCAAAGAATATTTGCCAATATTGTGGATGGTTTGACCCATACGTTATGTAAAGCTGGAGGAGGAGCTGAAGATGCAAATAATAATGATACCAATATGCAAGTTATTTTGTGGATGTAATTAAAAATCGAATAACTCACTTCTAACTTGTACATTAACTCTAGTCTTGACAGCGTCACGCAAGGTGCAAGAATAATTCCCAGCATCATCTGCACTAACATTGATAAGTTCCAAAGCTCCATTAGACTCAATCGTAAGACGTTCAATTTGCCCATCCTCGCGTCCATCTCTTATCCACATCGGCCTAGCAGATGTGCCTGACTGTGGTAGTGCATCTTCTTCTGAACAAGCTAAAGTCAAGTTCTGACCAACGTCTACAGCAACAAAACGCACTGGCACCAAAGTCACTGCTTCCTGCCATGCTAAAGATCACAATAAATTCTTTGACTAACATAATTGAATGGAAACTGCTAGTCACTGTAAAAGCATAAAGGAATACATTCAAAGTTACGTTCCTTGACTTTGTTAACATGTAAATTTCTCTATTGACTATGAAAAACCTGTTCTTACAAAATATTATACGCATGTTATATCGTAATATACTATTAAGAAACCTATATATATATATATATATATATATATACATATACATATACACATATATACATATATATATATATATATATATATATATATAAAAATAACATAAATAATCTATAAATCTCTATCAATTAATTCTTTCTAAATATAAAACCGTATGAAACAATTCTTTCAACTAACAGGTACATATAATTATAATTTATTCTTCCCGATTCGTATATGTTTACGACATACTCCATAGTTTCACACAAATAAATTCTACATCCTATAGACAAATCATTTAATTCTATACCTGTGCAAGCGATACGCATTTAAATGATCAAGTACAATAATATAGTATTGACATTCCACCGATCAATGGACTCGGCGGAACGGCTGAATGAGGATCTCCGAGGAGGAGATCGGACGTGTGGAAAAAAACAGGATACTTAGTGAAATTTGCATAACTCGACCCTGAATTGTAACGATCGTGCACTTAGCCCGATTTGCACGATGCACGTATACAAGCGCACGAACGCTGAACGGTGTTCGTGTCACATTGATCGGCAGGTGGGCTCACGGCTGAGCGAATCTCATGGTTACTCACCTGCCAGGAAGAGTATCAGTGTAACGATTCTATGCCCAACCATTCTGCCATATTAGACGGTCTCGCGTGGATACGTACGGAAACGCGTTAAGGATCTCTTCCCGGCCGCATCTTTCGGTCAATCTTATTTTCCACTTTTGAACGAGCCACGGTACGCGGGAGCTGTCAAACTCATCACGCTTCGCGGAACACCGCCCGTCCGGCGCTCTTTGGATTTTATTGAGTTGCCAACGCCGCGCTCTCGTGGCGACGCTACGAACCCGATCCGAAAACAGGGCCTGCAACCGTATCGAAAACAAATGTAACAGCTGTTCGGGATTAATGCACGCGGCTCTTCTTTTTTTTTTCTCCCTCGCGTCACATCAAATTCTACTGCACCGTGCACGTAACGGCAATTAAACGATTCGTTTTCACCAGTGCCCGTTCAAACGTATTCACGCGCGCCGTCGAATGTCCGAATTCGTCGAATTAATCTTAACGATCCGAGAGGTCTAGAAATGACTAGTTACCTTGTTAAATTGGATCACTGCACACGCGGGAACAAGTGCATCGATACTCGTACCATAGAACTGGTTGAATCTGCTTTACTCATTGAGGAAGAGCCGTTCCATATTTCTCTCCGTCTCTGTCGGGATTAACTAGAGAAAAACGATAGACACCTCGCTCGCAATGGGATAATCGCGGTAGTTGCGTATGATTGCCGGCGGGCGTGTATGTGTATGTGTATATGTATATGTGTGTGTGTGTGTACATCTGGTATATGCGAGAATACGTGAACACCGCTGAAGCGAGCGAGAAGCAAGGAAACAAAGACGACTGGTTGAATCCTGACAGCGAATTGGTACGTACGGCTGTCTATGTGCATGCACGCGCCACACGTAACACCGAGATCGATCTGTGCTTTTTCAAACAATTTAACAGTCAGATCTATTACCAACTACGTACTTCCGGTTATACAAAAACACCGGCCAGATGGGGGATTATCTATTTTCATGCATCAAACATCCTGATTTTACGTAACAATCAAACCTTTTGTCCTTTGCACGCCTGTGAAACGTTTCGCACGAGATACGTGTGTACAGTAGGAGAGGAAACTATGTGTACACCGGTGTACACATGTTGTGCACTTGTCTTCAGTTCGCGGTACTACTGTTTTATTATAAACGATAACTTGAATGTTACCGTTATCGGGTTATATCTTAACACGTTGAATGCCACGGGGTCACCGGTGACCGAATCGAATTACTATAGTTCACTCAATTACACGATGATTATTTGAAAACATTTCTATATTATAAATAATGCTGGCTAATGCGCTGACATTCAGCTAGACGAACTTGCAATGACAACAATGCAATTCGATCGAACGATTTAATATCATATTTCCTCCATTTCGAGTATTTTGCTTTATCGAATCGAACGATAGTCTCGCAGGATAACTCGACGCAAGTTTTATATCAAAAATAATGTTTGCAATTGAAAGGAAGCTTATCTTGTAGCGTCAGGTACAGACGGTTCTTTATTTCTAACAATTTATTCATCGCGTTCACTGTGTATTCGATCCTTGCGTGTATTTACGGACCGTTTAGTTTCTTCGTATATGCATTTAACGTACAAACGCGCCGCCATAGTGTTTACATTCGTCAACGTTTTGAAATTTGTTCAAACAGTACCGATCTCTTAAATTTGTCTTCGTTATTCTCGTCGCTGCTCTTCTGAAATTATTTGCATTCGTTACGTTTGCAGTAATCGGTGGTGCTGCGAGCCTAAGAGTAACGCGAATTGTTATAGAATATACTGCGCAGCATATGTGTTTGAAAATCTGAACACGGTACTGTTGGTCTTCCCGTTAGAAACTGAAATATTCTTTTGTTCTAGCTTGCCACGAAATAAGATCATTAGTTTAAGATACCGTGCTCAAGGTTAATGGAAGATGAAGCGTCATTAAGGAAACGAAGGCAATAAGATTGTAATGGTACAGAGTGTGTCCGTCGTAATCTATACATTTATTGTTTACTTTCGTTGAAATACGTCGTTATTCGAGGGTTGGAAGATCTCGTTGCGCAGCCGACGTTGTACTCATCGTTCTCCATCTTTCTCTATGTGACGTAACCAGTGACGTCAACCAATTGGAGGATCGATCGAATTCAAACTTGGAGGTAGAAACTTTTACTTTCCTCACGGTTTTTCAACTGTCTCATTTAATCGAACAACCTCGCGCTGTCCGCTAATGGACAATTAAATATTACTTTTCGTCAAGTAACGCTCAAACAGTAACAGTAAGGACAGTAATGACTTCCGGTCGAATTTCGAGGAACTGTACAACGGTAAAATATTCCATAAAAAATTACTCATTTGATCTACACGTTTCTGTACTATTATTTATCAAAGAGAATTACTTATTTTTAGGAGAATCAAAAGCCCACGATGTTTCCACAATATTCACCCTCCATTTACAAAAAGAAGAGAAGAATAGGAAAGACGTTTGAAATGATTTCATCAGCAGATTGCGGATTTTATCCATTGGTATCGCTCGAAAATTAAAATCGACACGAAAATCCGCAATCTACTTTTAACACGTCAAGCGCCACGTTTTCTCGTAGAGTTATTCCTTTGCGGCAAGGAAAAGTAGGGAGAATTCTTAATTGTTTGGCGTTGCAGTGCTTGCAGTGCACTATCGACTTCGTTACGTTAAGCATTTTCATTCGGTTATCTTGCACGTTACGATTGTTTTCGAGTAACTCAGAAGCGTCATTAAATATTTAAATCAGTTTCATACCGTGGTTACCGATGGACTCGGCCGTGGCGTCACAAGAACAAACCGACGTTGCCGGTCACCGGTGACTGGTGGACGCTTTAATTCGATTCGTTTTCACCTGGACCGTTCCTCGTTAAGCTCGTTGCTCGTTAAGCCGGGCTCGCGACTCGACTGCAAGAATATTTAGCTCAGGGTGCACCTCAATGTCAGCATAATGCACCGCGCCGATAATGAACATTAAAACCAGTTAATGGGAGGCAGTCGTACGATAGCGCGTAATCGGGCTGTAATGTAATCCTCTTATAGAATTTGTACCGAGTCAATATCGACGGGTTCGGTGAACCTCTGCGGCTGTTAGTCCCGGAAAACTCGTGAGTCTAAAAATA